AGACAGCGGGACGTCTTTGTTATATACTATGTAGTGATTATTCAGCAATTCAATGAAAAATATCTGCTATCACAAGCAGATATTTTTCAGTGAGCAGTAGGTACTGTGCAATAACTTATATGGCTATGTAATGAAGAACGTATTCACCGTAATTTTAGGGATTTTGGTGTAAAAACTTATACATTGTCTTATTAAAGAAACGCGAAAGTATTTATACTTCCACTATACGCAGTCTTCTGTGAGATAAGGGGCTTGAATTCGTGCAATTTGTTGCGTGGCCCTACCACCGTAAAGTTCCTGGTATGTAATGAAGAACGTATTCATTTTGGTGTAAACACATTACAAAATCGTGTAAATTAATTCTTTTTTTGCAGTCTAGATAAGGGTAGATAACATTTTTTGTTCAAATATCATACTTAAAAAATTCATTAATTGACATGAAATTCCTTAATTGTGAAATTCCTTTACTTATTAACTCCATTGACTGTTAGTCTTACGAAGTTAAGTGACGGTTATGTCGAGAAAGATGGCATCTTCATCGTCGACATACTTGCAACCACAGTCAGTGGCGGATTTGCCCTAAAGCCCAATAGGCCCGGGCCTAGGACGGCCGCGTCTTGGGGCGGCCAATCGTGACAAAAATTCACTGATGATAACAAGATATATGATGGGCGTTGAGAAAAAGGCGGCTCGAATTTACAAATGGGGCTGGGGCCAAGGGCGGCCAAGACTACAGATCCGCCACTGACCACGGTGCTGCAGAAGGCCCCGTGGTAAACATTTACCATCAAGTGAAATCTTTGTTCATTCACCATCTTCTCTTATAACAAACAAATTATGATTTTTATTAAACGTCACTTCAATCTACAAAACAAGACTAAGGTTCATCTTATTTCAATACGAGACCAATATTGATTTTGTTTGGGTGGGATTTGTTGTTTGTAAGCCGGACGTTGCTAAACAATAACGTTGCGTCGTTGGTCAAGGCCGATTGTTCGTTCACCGTAGTTTTTCGTGATGTTTAAATGAAATGACTGCTCGAATGATTTTCAAGTCCCAGAGACGAGCAAGTGCGAACAAATATTTCTGTAAATACTTTTCCACGACGTTATATAGCATAAAGTGCTCATTTCGCCCCGATTGGCGTGGGGAGTAGTTAACCTGCCTCTTGCGCCAGAGGGTGTGGGTTCGATATCTACGACTGGAAAAATATTGTGTTATGAACATAGTGTTTTTCGGTGTCTGGGTGTATATTTACAAAGAAACGAGTGTTTAGATGTTTATCAATATCTAGATACAAATATTTTCTATTAAATTCTAGATAGAAATATTTACAAACTAAGTAGAGTTCGTACTATGTGTGCTAATTGACTGATAAATATTCTTACTCATTATTTTCTTTTACGTAAATATACGTATATGAATTATGTTTATCACAGAATGTTTTACCGATGTAGAGGGTCGAACCAACACCCTTTAGCGCAAGGGACAAGGTCACAATCCAATACGTCAATTAGATCGTCAGATTTATAGAGTAAATGGACATTTTCTAAACATTGACATAAAACGTCTTATATTTTATCTGTGGTAAGCCACGCAGCAGCCTCGGCTGTTGCACGAATGGGCGGCCTCGTCCGGGTAGGTTCCACGACCTCTCAGAAGACCGGCGTCAAGTGGAAGTATATCAATCAATCAATCAGCCTTTTGCAGTCCACTGCTGGACATAGGCCTCCCCAAGAGTACGCCATAGAGTACGATCTTCCGCTTTCCTCATCCAGCCACTACCAGCGACCTTTCTCAGGTCATCGGTCCACCTGGCAGGGGGACGTCCGGCACTACGTTTTCCGAGACGTGGCCTCCATTCGAGAACCCATCTGCTCCAACCCTCATCGGTTCTACGACAGATGTGGCCAGCCCACTGCCACTTCAGCTTGCTACACTTACGGACTATATCGACAAGTATAATTACTTTATTATTGATAAAAGTACGTTTGGTTTTTATTGAAATCGTTAAATATCATGAAACATTCTAAATTTAATATCTTTTAGTACCTCATATCCAGAATACGTCTAATATAAAATTAAATGATCTAATAGCATGTACGATTGTTACCAATTTTTGAAATAAAAGTTAATTTTCAATGTGATGATTTGAAAAATCAGCTCGGAAGAGTAGAGAAACAGACAGAAATCTCATTAAAGTGATAAGCCTGTTCAAAGTCAAAGTATCTTTATTCAATACTAGCTGACTCGGCAAACGTTGTTTTGCCGTATAAATTATTTCTAGAGGAATCGGAACGCACGCATAAAGTGTTTGACAGGTTAACACAGATATAGTTGACAGGTTGACAGGTACAGTTTGTATTGGAAAATAAAGTTGTTGCTATTTCGAATTTCCATGCAATTTTTTCATAATTTCTCATCGTTTAAATCTTCCCTGGACTGCCACAAATATTTCAAAACCAAAATTAGCCAAATCGGTCCAGCCGTTCTCGAGTTTTAGCGAGACTAACGAACAGCAATCCTTTTTTATATAAAAGATAGGCTTAACTTAAGCTCTTATTGAACGTCTACAAAACATCTACCACCGATTCACTAAACTAGACCTGCACAGAGAAGAACCGGCAAGAAACTCTGCGGTCTTGTTTTTTTTTTTTTGATGCAAGTACACAAACTTATTAAGGTATAAAATCAGCAGCAGCCAGGGGTCTGGCAAGCGCAGAGCAAGAGTCATTTCCACACATCCTTTTCCTCAATGTATTCTTGGACATTATAGTAGGCCCTTGCCATTAAGGTAGCTTTTACAAACTGTTTTGAAATTCTTTATGCTTATTTGTTTGTGGATGTTAATGCTTAGTTGTCTGTTAATCTTTAAAAATCTTTTATAATAAAAAAAGTGGCCGCTTAAAAATATTTTTTATAGTGTTAAATCATTGTTATTGAATTACAGACGATCGAAGTTCATATAAACATTCAGGGCATACGTTTTAAGAACTAGTAAATCCGGTTATTAAATGTGATAGTGGAAAAGTTTAGGAAGTGGAGCTATTTTAATGGAATTATGCTTTGATTTATTCCCTTTTTGAATAATATTGACTCAAGAAAAGTGTAAAAACATGGGAATTTAAATGTCATCTTTCGAATCTCAATTCAAAAGAGATATTTTAATGCTCGAGTCCCTTGATTGACATTGAGAACAATGAGTTCATATGAGATCGAATAAAAAAACGTTTAGCTTTTTAATAACATTGTTCAGATTGCTTGCCTTTGATTGTCGAGTTAGTGTTCAAGTAACAATCATGTAACAATATCTCATTCTTAGTTAATATAATATTAATTGGTTCATTAATTTAATACAGTGATTTATAAAACAGATCTCTTAGAATGCGACATAGATATCTTTGCAACGGTTACTCGATATCGGTTTATAATTAAATTCCTATAATATAGAATGTAGCACATATAACAGGTAGCAGCGTACGAGTGCAGCAGTGTACAAATATATACTGTTATATGTACTTCGTTGCACGCTAACTTGCGAAGAATTAGCCGATTTAATAATTTACTTAATGAATATAAAATGAATGATGAAAGAAGTCTTGAAATCCAAGGAACTAAGTTTGCAAATAAAAAGGATAGTCTTCAACACATGCATACTTCCAGTCATTACCTATGGATGCGAAACCTGGGCACTCACTGAACACCACCGAGAAAAGTTGAAACGATGCCAGAGAGCCATGGAGAGAAGCTTGACAGGAACAAAGAAACAAGACAAAGTGAGATGTAGCATAATAAGAGCTAAAACCAAAGTTATTGATATATTAACCCAGATAGACCAACACTCCCAAGAGCGACTCCCAAGAGAAATGGTGTAAAATTGTTACAAACTGGTATCCCAGAGACGGCAGGAGAAGCAGAGGACGCCAGAAAACAAGATGGGAAGATGATCTGAAACTCACGGCTGGACTTCACTGGAGAAGAGTAGCAAGTGACAGGTCCCAATGGAAATTGTTAGAGGAGGCCTATGCCAAGAGGCAAACTGAGCTTCGGGACATATTATAAAAAGAACAAAATATTTCATTCATACTTATGAGAAGTTCAGAACAAGGCTTATTATTATTATTATTATTAATGAATATAGTCTCGTCCATTAGGACAACAGGAGATGTATAGAGACATCGCGGCTGATAGATATTCAAAATTTTAATTATTATTCACATGGTACTACAGGACATTCATTTTCAAACTTTTGTATGTTGAAATACACGTGTATATGTATGAACATAGATTTTCCTACCGGTTCTTTCGTAGGCTGACTAAATTTGTGAAGTGGTAGCTTTAATGCATACATTGAAACAGGTCTACATTGATTAAAGGAGTAATATTAAACAAAATAACTTTAATGTAGACTTTCATATGACGAGATCTTGTGACAGAATTATTTACCAAACGATTTATATTTTGAGTGGTATTCATTTTGAATTTTTTTTAAATTATTAATAATTCTGAAAATGGATCTTAGACGATGACAAATTAATGTTTCTGGAGGGTTTCGGTATTCATTTCTACGCAAAAACTTTAGTCTTTTATAAAATTGCTACGTTTGCTTGTTAAAGTAAACGACTTAATATTTTTTCTTAATAAAATAGGACATAATTATGTATAAGTACCTGTTTTCCAATACGAGAAGATAAGAACATATTTTACACGTATAAATTTATACAATCAGGTTTTATCGGGCTTGCTTAATTCGCTGATCAACTAAAGTAACTAAGTTTAAATTGTGAAGACAATCTAATTAGAGTAAAAAAAAAGTTAATTATCTATAAAAGCAAAAGTATTTGTTTTGTTACCATGTTTTCATATTTGTTATTTGATCTATCCAATTACTTCAGAAACATCTGTGTCCACTACAGTAACATACCCTCCTTTAAACACGTATTATTTCAAAATATCTTGTTTACCTACAAAAACATGTGAAGAGGAATACACCAACTCACCTTCTGTTCCTATCGATGCTCGTGAAAAGAGATTTTCACTTTCCTTTGCTTAATCTTCAACCAGAGACACGGGCAGCACTGTCCGATCCGAAGTATCGATTATTTTCGCGCGCAAATCGCACAATCCATAATGGCGGCTGGCGGGCTCGCACGATGGCACGAGACTGAGGCTTTTGCGCCCGCGCTTGTGACGCGCGGTGACGGTCAGTCTTATCACGAGCTGACCACGGCACTTACCACCTGGTCACGGACCGACGTAGATTGTCGGTGGCGAACGCGCCAGCCAATGACAATACTGCCTTTTCATATATAATTTAATTCAATATATTCGAGCAACCCTAGTTCAAATCCCCGTGCCGGCACCAATGAAACAGTAAATTTTTAAGTGCTGATTCATCGCGTAGCTGAAACATAATTAAAACAATATTTACAAGATTAAATCTATCTAAAATTACATATTATCTAATAAACCTAATCCACGCGGCATGTTGCCAAGAACGCTAGCTGTATTTCCTCACTGAAAAGTTATGCTTAACCTTTGAGCCAGAAAAGAACCAGCTCTCTTGTCACCAGCCGCGGCGTTAAGCCTAGGACATAAACTTTTAAAAAATTTTGTTGTGCCCACACGTGGGACCCCACGGACCTAAAGTTTCAACAGCAAATGGCACAAATACATAATCTGAACATAAAGACTCATATTTGCGCCATTTACTTACTTCAGCTGCCTCCGATGCCGCCCCGGCCCTGACCGAAGTACCCCTTAGATGAGAGTCAGCCAAACGGTCTACACAAGTCCCAAACAAGGACTTTGCCTCTCTCCCAAGGGATCAATGTAAAACCGTCGGGTCTCTTACCATCGTCGCGAACAATGCCACAGGGCTCTAAAATAGATGGAACATTGATGGAAACAAGAGCCCTACGGATGAAGTCGTTCAGGGAACCTTGGCGGGAAAAACGACCAGCACTTTTTTGACAAGAAAGCCCGTGGAGACCAAATTTGTCTACAGTGACACCACAAGGGCATTGGTGTGGTTGACAAATCGGTGCCCCCAGACGGATTCCTACAGCATTGCGTAAGCTTTCATCGTCAAGTAATGTGCCCAAGTTACTTGATGGTAAAGCGTGAAGCCAATAACTCGATTCTTTAGATGAGACGCCTAGGAAACGGGCACGCTCTAAATTACTTTCTAAAGATTGAAACATATCTCTCTGTACTCTCCGCACCAAAGGAACATCCCACTGTTTTTGTAGGTTTACTTCCAGTGGGATATTTTCGTTGGGACAGATAGACAGCCAAGACATCCTTGCCTCCTCTGCATAGGAAAGTTCTGAATCGTGATTAAGGATGTTATTACATAAATTATTTACGCTATGCACGGAAGCAAGGAAGGCAGGTAGAGCGACACTAGAAATTTTCCTTACACCGATACCACCAAAATGAATTGGCAGCGTAGCTTGAGTCCAGCTTAATTCGTTAAGAGATAAATTTATAATTATTTCTAGAGCTGATTTAAGATGGAAATCAATTTCGTTCAAAAAGTCACCGCATTTCCAAACGCATCATCTCTTTAGGTCATCTCTTCAGTAAAAAAGCTTGTTTTGCTCAGGCACAATATTACGCAATTAATTCAATTTTAATCGGTTGACGTTAATGACATACATAAATGCTTTTATTGCTTCATCGCAAAATCTTATTGCGTTCTGCTAATTGTTTCTGGGGTTAAGGTTGCTCGATATGTATCGATAGACGCGATAGAACACCAGCGAAAAACCAGGGTTGGATCATTTTATTGGTCTGTTTACCGCACTAAACGGATTAAACGTAGAATTTGGAACACTTCTGTCATTGAAATTTTGCTAAATCTCTAATACATCTATAAATCTTGAAACTGTTAGTCTATTTTTATCATGAGCTAAATACCGTTACAATTGATATAATCCCTAAGATTTAGATTACAAATATTTATACTTTACTAACGCCTTATATAGCGTCTAGCATTAGTATAGAAAATTTGTTCTGGAGTGGAGGGAGGTGATGATCAGGTGAGATAACAGCACAAAAGCTTAGCTTGATGATCTACATCGATGCGCCTTGGGAGTTGAAAGCATAACTAAGACATGAAGAAAATATTATGTTTTGCTTCCAAAACGAAGGTAGAGATGGAACGTGTTCGAGGGAAATGTTGCAGTTGGGTAGCAGTTTCCGCTGTTGCACGAGTGGGCAGGCTCGTCCGGGGAAGTGGCACTACCTCGCAGAATACGTGGCGTGAAGTGCAATTGTTACATTTCTGCGTAACGTCTGGTGAGTGAGGTAAACGGAACCACTCCTTTAATTGGTCGGTTTTGCCCGTTGAATGTGTTATAATGTTGTTTCGTCTGTTAAACCGTCTCACATTTAAACTACATGACGCTTTCGAACATATGTATGTGTATGGGAGTCATCATCCTCCTGCCCTTATCCCACCTAGGTGCGGTCGGCACATTATGTGAGTCATGTTGCAAGCGGAGCTCCTTGAAAATCAAACACCCAGATCCAGAACAATTACCTGTGAGTCACCCATACACTTGTCCAGTGTCGGAATCGAACCCACGACCCCCAACGCTTAAGGCAATATCTTAGCAACGGCGCCAAGTATCTGTATGGGAGTTTCGAAACTTATTAACATGCGACCACGGTGGAATTTGTCCGTCTGTCACGTCACGCGTCGCGGATCTATTATTGTCTCCCCATTAATCAATGGCTCACGAGATGCACTCGATGATGCGTGAAGGTGAGTTTTATTCAGCGGCTCAAGGTCAAACGCTATAGTGGAATGACATTGTGATGCGATTCGACGAGATATGTGGCATTCTTTTTTTATTTTTTATAGGTAATAAAAAAAAAACTAATATCTCTTGTACAGTATTAAACGCAATTAATAAAAGTTTAATTAGATAACTTGGAATGAAATTAGATAATTAAAATGGAAGAAAATTATAGGTAAATGTCAAAAAGTTGTTAGTGGTTGCTTATGGTAATACCGTGAAGTGGGTCGCTTGCAAACCAACGCGCCTAAAGAAGTATATTTCCAAAAACTATATAATCTTTAAGAAGACGCCATCTATTGAGAAAAACTTGCATCGGTCAGTGTGTAACAATTTATTTTCAATGTATAACTAAAGTAAATGTTAATTGATAGAGCTACTATAAAGAGCATTTTCAAATAATACATTTTCATATTTTAATTATTTGTGCGTATTGCTCTGATTATTTATTAAAGCATCAATCATACTGATTAAATAAAATAAATTAAATTGTTAATTAATTAATTAATTAATTACAGTTTAAATGAAGCATGCATGTTATGTTAACAAGTGCAGGTAAGAAAAAATAGCGAAATACAAGAAACTATACATGTATATATTCTCAATTTTTTTTATTTAAATAAAACAGAAATAATTACCAGCTACACTTGTATAATTAACATTTTACAAGTGTGGTTTCAACAACTTTTCTCGTTTCTTTTTGTATTAAACCTATACACATCTTTACTGAACAATATAAATGCTTGGGAAATATATTAAAAAAGCGCCTGCAATAAAAACGAATGCAAAACAGCATCAGTTCACTCTGCAATCACATAGCTGTCAGGCGCTAGCTTCTGAGATAAGAACTTACGAGACTCTTTATATCTAATTCAAATTTTTTAAGGTAAATAAAAACGTGCGTCTATTCATAAGTTGTGTCGTCTCACAAATAACTTGTTCTTGGTATTTAATGTACATTTATCAGCTAATCAAATATAAGTACACCGCTTGTGGTAAGTACCTAATATTTTCATTCAAGTACCTTTAAGGTATTAACTGAAGCAAAAGTGTATTTTCTAGTATGTATTGATTGTGTTAGGGTCACTGAAAGATTTCGGCTGTTCAATGAATGCTAGCTCGTTCCATCGGAGGAGAACAGGAACGAAAATGCTATACTTCTGTATTTCATCAGTTGAAGGCCAGATGTCTTTTTAACAGTCGAAAGATGTCAATCAGCGGGCGTCAATTGTTATCCCGCGTGACTTTATTCTTGGTTCTCAGACGCTTTATTTAAAGAAGCTAATAACAATTAATGCTGGAGCCTTTAAAACTTTCTAAGATTTCATATGAGAGTAAGTGCCCATTTGGAATTAAGCTGGTCACTGGTCGGTTGGCAACTCTATGCTTCCCACGGGCTTAAGAGATGCGGCATCCTATTTTATGTTAAAACACACAGCACTAGGTCCGGGTAGGCTCACCGCGGAGATACCACCGTTTAGATAATGAGTGTCGCTAATCAGACAGAGTGCCGTAATCAGATAAGTGGCGCATTCCGTTAGTACGCTGCGTTATTTCGGACGGGATCAACATAGAATCTGTTGCGGTTTGTGTTGAACTGCTGTCGTTTGTTGAAGGGCTTTGAAAGTGCCAGTGCTGTTCGTGTGCTGTTAAGCTCGAGAATGGTGTGACTTGCAACACTGAGCTGTGACGCGGGGAAACGGTGAATATGGCTTGTGTAGTTGTCGTGGGCGTTTATTTTGCGCATTATTTGATAGCTCATCAGGTAGGTAGATGTGTGGCTAAGCGTCCTACGTAAAGGAGCTTTGTTGAATAAGTGGAGACATGCGGTAAGGGTTAAGACTGCTGTTCATTTTCAGCTCAGGGAATTTTACCACGACGGGCCAATACAGAGGAATAAGTAGCGATCGCATCATTACGTTATGTCTTATCATTACCACCGTAAGTAACTACTTCGAGACGGCAATTTGAAAAGTAACTTTTTTGATTAGTTTTACAGTTATTTCGCAAAAGGAGGAACACGTTGTCACGGCTTGTCTTATTCTGTGTGTCTGAAATCGCATTACATAGACAAACCGAATAGATTTAGACTTACATACACAGAACTTTCCATTGAAATTTCGAGGTTATACAAACGTGAGAAGGGGTAGATTCAACTTGAAACACGTAAAACTGAAACATAGCAACCACACTAAACAGTCAAAAAACTACTGATTCCTTTCTTAAATAATAAATAATAATAAAATATCTTTATTCACATAGACGCTTGCGCGTTCTTATGAAACGTCAAAATTTTATAAAGAAATCAACACGTTCGTAAGTTACCACCATGGTAACCAAATGATAGCATATTACCATGTAGCCGTATGTGGGATCTAAATCAGAAAAGGAGTTTTCGCTGTTGTTATATGATAATTAATTTGTAACGACTCCGTGGCGCAGTTGTCAAGTTGACTTCATCGCCTGGGATCGTGGGTTCGATTCCCACAGGGGACAACTATTTGTGTGATCCACAGATAGTTGTTTCGTATCGGCATGTCTGTGCACGTGAAATTTATGTTTGTAAAACGTCCTTACAGGGTAATGTCATCCTAAAGTAAGAGCAACGGTTAAAAAAAGAAAAATACTCTAACATAGTCTCCTTCGTCCTTAAATCTAAATGCGGAGTGCAGAAAACCAAAGAACCTCACTTTTATTAAAGTTTAATTCGAAATTCAGTACCGACTTACACCAGGATTTTACCGTAGGAGAACCGTTAAAGGTCAAGAAATAGGTCCCGGTTCGCGAATAGGCCAGCTGGACTGGGGAAATATCACGCAGGAGACTTCGTCCAGTAAGTTGGCAACCATGCGACAGTGATATAACAATCTGAAAGACGGTGATGCAAGCCTCTAAGGTATGGAATATCAATCCAGCAACGAGTTTTCAGTTCGAATCGCGAGAAGGGACCTCACTGGTTAACGTCTACGTACAAGTTAACGGTTAACGTCTAACGACAAGACACATTTACAGAATGTCATCTAGTCATAAACTAAGCATAGCTTGTACTATTGATACTAGTTTTTTTTTTATGCGAAAAGTTGTCAAACGAGCAGACGGTTCACCTGATGTTAAGTGAAAACCGCCGCCCATGGACATCTGCTACAGTCGAGGGTTGCAGATGCGTTGACAATCTTTTGAAAATTGGGCTCCGGCTACCTCACTTACCAGACGCAACGCGAAAGTATTTGTCATACTTCCACTTTACGCTGGTTTTCTGTGAGGTCGTGGTACTTACCCGGACGGGTCTGCCCATTCGTGCAACAGCCGAGGCTGCTGCGTGGCCCTACCACCGTGATAACTGATAAACAGTAACTAAGGTAACTGATAAACATACTTAAACCTGTCCTGGATAAATGTTAGCTCCATGATGATCCATGAATATGTCAGCAACAGTGGGAGAATCTAGTGGGATGCCCCGTTTCTTGTAGAAGATCCATGCTATACTGCCCTGCCTATGGCTATAATATCAATCTCTATGTTACCCTCGTCCTTTCAGAGACAGATGTCAGGCCATGTTTAATTAATAATGCATATTCATCCAGTACGTTATTGTCTTTTAACTTCCTAGATACAATTGAAATGCAGTCTTCTATCGGTAGGCGTGTAAATAAAGATCGGACATCATAATTAACTATTGTTTTATTGTCAGCAATATATATACGCATTATATTCATAAATCATGGTAAGAATCCTACTGTACGCTTTTGCGTAGGCATTTGTGTCTTTTTAGTGGTGAGAGGACGTTAATTAGATGTTGAGCCAGTGTAAGTTGGTGAGTTGATGTGGTTTATAATTCAGTGTTAAAAAGCATTTTTCTCTGTACGGGGATTGGGCACCTAAAGGTGTTATCGATTTTTCGTTCAGATAATAATTTACACTCAGATAATAATGTACTTGTTGCAACTATGGACTTGAATTGGCTTTTTTGTGGTTTGGCGGATTGGCGAACTTCACGTATCTTCGAAACTTTTTTGTTGTAGTTCAAAATATGCAGGTTTCCTCACGATGTGTTCCTTCACCGCTTAGCACGTGATAATTCAACACTTAAACTAACAATTTGATTGGTCCCGGCACAGGGGATCTAACTCAGGTTGGTCGAGTATATGCAGTGCCGGATTAACCACGTAGCAAGAGTACCAATTGCTACGGGCCCAACATATTTTTACCCACTCATTTCTGCCTGAGCCTTAATTATTTTATTGAAAGTTACTAAATAAGTTAGACTATTGAATTGTTTTTCTACCACTTTATACTTAAGAACCCATAGCAAATTAAGGGCTGTTTGAAAGAATTTGCTTCGGGCCCCGCGCTTGCTTAATCCGGTACTGAGTGTATTGTATTAAAAGCGGACGAGCGGAAAATGAGCTATCACGTCCCTAAATTCATCACGAATTTACAATCACATTAAAATTATCCGCCAACGTCTTCATAGACACCGTGACGGTTCTTTCATCTGCGCGGAGATTAAGTAGTTTCTCTATTGTTGCGTTATAGTTGTTTAACGCGTAAGTTCTGGAATTATATATAAATACTAGCGGACCCAACAGACGTGTTCCTGTACACGCGACATAAAGCCGACAACTTATAAATTAAAAAAAAAGTGTGTGTGTACTTTTGTACACGCGTTACAAGTTATACTTCTTTGGCG